AAAAAAAAAAAAAAAAAAATACTGCTGGGTGTACTGTGCCTGATCCTATGAAATGTAGAGCTCTTTCAACTTCCTTTGGAGTTGAGAGTACTTGCCTCCTCACAGGGGTCTAGCTAACCACTTGCATGTGTTCCAGTTCATCAAAAAAAATAAATAAATACTGCCATAGAAACATCTCTCTCACTGACCCTACCCATTGTTTGGTCACATACCCTGCTTGCAGATGCTGACATTCAGGACACCTGTTCCAGGGCAGTTTCCTGCTGGCACACAGAATCCAGCATTGTCTGGATTAACAGAAGTATTGGCAAAGAGCTCTTCAGGGGGCACAAAGCGATAGGCAGGGATCCCTGCCACACTCCTAAAGCTGTCAAACGTCAAATACAGAGATCTGTAGGGAAGAAAAACAAGAACCTGAATTACTGGGCATAAGCACTCATTAACCCATGTCATCACAAATACGGTCGAGAGACCAGAACTGACCTGTGAAGACATTTGATCTGGCCAGCAGGTAGACCAACCACATATCCTGGTGGTGCATGAGGATGGATCAGCCATGCATAATGCATACAGCACAGAGGGCTGACATGAGGTGCATGCTCAGCTTGGATCCAGTGTACAGCACAGGTCCACAGGTTGCTGTATGGAGCACACTTCCCATGCCAGCCCCATGCTACATGCAGCACACATGGCTGGTCCAGCCCCACGTGCCATGTACCACATGCAGCACACAGCAGCCCCAGAGCTCACTGTGCACCTGGTCCCTGTGGCTGCAATGGGGCAAGCTGCCCACAGCATGTGGGATGGAATCAAAAGCTGCATGTGCCAGGGTGGAGGCTGCACACAGCATCCCAGACCAACTCCCCTACTACCTCTAGTGCTGGGTCCACTACAGACAGCACACAGGCTGGACCACTCCACAAGGAGTTGGTCATGGTCCAGCCCACAGACATTCATTCAGCCCACAGGCTGAATAGGTTTGACACACCTGTTGTAAACCCTCCAAATAGACATGTGTGCACCCATTTGTATTTACAGTATGCTACAAGCCTAATCTAAGATTCACTGGACTGAACAGTAGTCTTTTGGTTGAATGGTTGTCTTTCCATTGATTTTAACAGACTTTGGAGAAAGCCCCACAAAGCTTGCCATGCCTTTGAATACAATGGATGAACCTTAAAAAAAAAAAAATACATATAGCCCTCTGAGGTTAAAGACACGTGTCCTCAGGATATTGGAGCCTCTCGCAAGCCCGCAAGACCATCTCTGGAGCTAGAGCTCTGTCACTGTGCACTCAGGTGCCCTGCACCTGGAAGTGGATACGGCTCAGGAGAGACCCCTAGTGGCAGGAAGGGGGAGGCTCAGCTGCCAGTCACCAGGGCTGCACAGGTGCTGGTTGCTGAGGCAACAAGTAAAACCAGCTGACAGGAAGGGGCAGGGCTTAGCCCTTCTTAAACCCAGGTAGAAGGCCAGGAGAGTAGTTCCTCTCCAGCGGCTGTGGGAGCAGGAACTCAGCTAGGACAGGCAGAGGGGAGAACTCTGGCAGTGTGAACATCCCCTGGTTACTGTTAGGGTTGGGGAGCCCTCCCTCCTTCACTCCCTAGTAGGGAGTGAACTAGTTTTAACCGGACGGTCTAGTTTTATGTTGTAGCCCAGGGGCTTTGTGTTTATGTTCATTTCTTTGACCGGATGACCAGGTGAGCCTATTAGAGGTTGGAGGAGGCCTCATAGGGACTCTCCAGTAGCACAGGGGTTCCTGGCACCGGAGAGG